TTGGATAATAATCACCAATATTCACTTCGCCTTCGGCGAATAATTGTTAAATATAATGAAAATATCATCGTAAGTCACTAAATCCAGAATTTTCACAGATAACTTTTATTTTGTCCTCGGCTTGCTCTTAATCAACTTTGTTCTTTTATAAATAATGGTAATAGGATCGAGTGGAGTCCAACTCGGTCTATAATCATACACCACTGATCACAAAATAGCACGACCACGAAGGGCGAGTCTGATTTGTTAATCAAAAAATGGCAATCATTGGTCATATGATTTCTGAAAAAAAAAAAACCATTTATTTGAGGAAACAACTCCGGTACAGACATCGTCTAAAGTAAAAATTTCCTCTATTTTGGAAATTCCACAGTTTTTCAGGGTAATTGGTTATTGCTATGGTTATTGTAATCCATTCTGTAATTAGTAAATGTAGCCGGGTGAATTCAGTTTGATTGGCTTCTTTAGCGGTCTTCTTACAGGTGTCCGATTACAGCAAACCGCCCAATTACTGCTAACAACTCCACAGAAGTGAAAACAAAGAAGTGAATTAGTCACTGACATCAGTCTACAGCCCCTTAATGTTAATTTTAAAATACACCATTTCTAATCATAGAGAGAAGCTCAACTGTTATAGTTAGCTCATTGTTGCATAAATGAGAAATCAATCCGGCTCAGTTATTATAACTGAACAGCGAGAGGTTCAGTAAGGTATCTGGCGGTGTGCGCACTGGGATTGCGATGCATTGTGGATGTAAAATTTTCAAGAAGGCGGCGAAAACTTGGTAAGTTGGTGGGTTTCGGCAAGCATTTTCCACCTAAAACAGAATGTATCTCTTTCGTTTTTTTGCCGAAATGTCTCTTTCAACTTCCCAACAGTTAAAAAACATGGTTTTTGGGTTCAAACGAAAAACGCTCTTTTGTTTCTAATAGCCCATTTTATCTACGCTATTTTACTGTGAAATTGACACCGTTTCTTAAAAGCTTAGAATTTCTTACCTCTATTAGTTTGAGTGATAAAAAAGGTGTGAAAGGCTTCTTTGATCTTTGTTGTAACCCTGTCTATAAATGCTCCCCAACGCTCCCCAGTGCATCTTCAGATATAACCGTTTGAGCATGGTTAACTTTTAGGTAAATATGGCGATCAAAGACAACAAACGGCCTTACGCCGGCGTTCGTCACCGTCCGAAGATAGCTTTGAAATATACTATCAAATCTTCAATTGAAAACAAAACATACTGGACTATTATAATCGAAAAAACACCTTTCTAAACGAAGTAAAAGGATCATCGCTAAAATTTCTCACCTCTCTCGATTTCCACGTTCACTTATGGACAAATACAAGCCCTATGTATCCAACAAGAAGCATCGAGAGCCGCAGTTTGGCCAGAAAATTCACGCAAATTGACTTTTCTGCTGAATTTTTCCAGAAAAGGCCAGAGACAGTTGATTCCATTACGCATTCAATCAGCTAGCCCTGAAGAGATGTTTACCCGACGGCGTCTGCATGCAAAAAACTTAGATTTCAAATTTCACCCATGAATCAGCGCGATCCCAGTGCGCACACCGCCTGGCAAGGTTTGAAGAATGTCTGGGCTACGTTTCCTATTAGCAGTACTTCCGAATGACTATATACTCAAACAACGCACCTTTTCACACAGTTCACGAAAAAATTCATGCAGTATGAATAGAATTGTTCTTACATACCTCCACTTTTGTGTGTTGCATGAGAACCGCGAAACTGGTAAAATGTTCGGTTTGGCACACGGTACTCGAGGAGTTTGAACGTGACTCTAACTCTTTGACGCCATTCGTCGACCAGAAACTAGGAGAAAAAAGCGTTAGTAAAAGTGACAGTTTTTTTTTTACGAGAACCAAATAGCTCACCACGCTAGTATTGATTTTTGTCAATAAAAACTTAACCGACTTAATGAAAGGTATAGTTATTTCCCCGTGGTGAAATGCTAATTTATCATTAATGGCCTCCGTATACTTCGCGCAGCTTAACGCACTGAAGAAGTCACTTCAGTCTCGCTAAGAGAAACAACACAGAAGACAACTGTTACGGGTTTTATGTCCACAGGTTGCATTGATGGTGGGAGGTATCTTTTATCCCACTGGTCAGGTATCGCCCGCCTTAAGCCGGGCAACTCCCGGTCAGAAAGGCGTTGGCTCGCCATTGTCTTCCTGCTTCAGAGGGTGCCTGGATAGACGGCATGGAAAATATAGTTAGAGCCTGTCTAGCCTTTTTTTCTGTCTATTTTGGTGAGACAGTTCAAGTCAAGCTGCCACAACATTCAAAAGTTTTACTTGACAACGGTATACGACAATATAGCTGGAAACAACTGGTAACAGTGAGGAGCAAGAACATTAACATCGCTCTACGAAAAGAAGAGCTGTTTTCCATGAGCATTGTAAAAGGACAAATTTACCTTTCATTCCAAAAAGAGCACCTCCTTGGACGGCCTTCGGCGGACTAAACAAAATAGACAAGAACTGAGGCTTTTAAAAGACATCGTTTAACGAGTATCTTTAGGAATTGCGCAGGTCAAGAAAACAAAGTATTTCTTCGTAAAAATGGAAATAACTTTCAAATCTATTGCATTGAAATTGATATTGAAACGTTTTCTTCCTGTGGGAAGAGATACCACTATAGTAGTCAGACATTTGTGGAAGAGACTTGATGCACACGAATGCGTCTATGGCAGTGACAGGTGCTCCGCGGTACTCCGGGGTGCTCACCTTTGTTACAAGTAGATAAAGTTAAACCTTCGGAGTACGTACCTACAGTGGCAGGGATGAAGGTCAGATTGTTTACGTTACTGGCAACGTCGACCTCTCTCACCCTATGTGGTCAATACTTCTTCTTCCGTCACTTTCTTTCGTAAACTTTATCAGATATGTAAACACATCCAAGCAATTTTACGCACCCGTAATGTCTAGGGGCCCTCTGTCCAAGGTATTTGTTGGAGAGATATCCGATATCATGAACAGCTCCTAT